TTTTATATAAATTAGATGATAAATATATGTTTAATATTATAAAATATGTATTAATATTATAATTTATTTCAAATTGATTGATGAAATTAAAAAGAAAATATTAATTTACAATTTTATTTATTGATTGAAAAAGTATAATTTCAATTAGATTAATAAGATTGATATTATTGTATTTTTATTATTTATATTTCATTTTCTATTTATTTTATCATATTTATTTATAATATTTATAATGTATTTAAATGAAATTAAAATATCTGATATATTTATAATGATTTCACATGAAATAAAACAATAAAATTATTTATAAAAGTATAATGAATAATATTGAAATGAATAATAATGAAATAATTAATAAATTCAATTTATTCAAATAAGATATATTTTATTTTATATATAAAATGATATAAATAATGTAGACATTGTTGATATTTGTTATTTTGAATGAATAAGAATATGATAAGAAGAAAATAAATCAAATTAATGAATAAAAGAATAAAAAGAAATACATATATTGTAATTGTATTAAATAATACAACAACTTCATTTTCAATAGAAATAAAGAAATAATAAATTATAAAATAAAATATTTAAAATGAAAGAATAAATAAAATATGTTTATAAATGAATAAAAAATAAAATGAATAAAATAGAAAATAAAGAAGAAATGAATAAATTTAATAAATAATAGAATAAATGAAAATAATAATATTCAATTTATTTATATTCATAATCAGTTGAATATTATAATAATATAATATCATAAAATGAAATAGAATAAATAATAGAAATATTAAATATGAATAAAATTAAATAATGAACAAGAAAACATTAAAATAATAAATATAAATTAAATATGAATAAAATAAAATATAAAATAAATAAAATGGAATATAAAATATAAACAAATAAATAAAGAATAATAAAAATAAATGAAAGAGAAGTTATTCATTATGAATTATTTAAATGAAAATGATTTAATTTGATTAATTTATTATGTTGAACATTATCTTCTTATTAATTAATATAATTGAATTAATTATATATTTTGTATTTCATTTTTAAATTAAATTTTGATGAAAAGAATGAAATTGAATTATTAAATATATTATAATTTAATTATAAAATATAATAATAAATAGTATTTGTATTTCATTGTTGTTTTAAATAAAAGTATTAATGAATATCAAACAATTTAATATTTGAATATTATTGTTTTATTTTTTGAAATAAATGTAATTTTATTAACATATCATTAAATTATTTATTTTCATTTGTTATCCTAATTATTATTTGTATTTAATTAATTTATTATTTTAATTTAACTTATATTCATTAAATATTAAATCAATTCATTTTATTAAAAATATTGTATATTTTTATATATTTTAACATAAAATATTTGAATTTATTTACTTTAATTTATTCATAATGAAATAAATGACGATTAAATATGATTATTCATTTTGTTTTTTAAATATTTTCACATTATTTATTTAAATTTGTATGTGATAATATTTCATTCTTTTTATTTTATCATTTTATTTTTGTTGTAATTCTAATGAATGGAAAAATAAAAAATGAGAAATGGAATATTTTTATTGTTGTTCGATAAAAAGAATAAAATATGATAAAAACAATAAATATAATTTAAATTATTCTATTTTTAGTATTTAATTTAAAATAACGATAAATATTGTTGTTTAATATTTTAAGAAATACAATAAAAATATAATTACAATGTAAAATAATTATTTTATTAATAATTCTATTTTATTAATTTTATATTGATTAAAAATATTGTTAATTAGAAATAAGGGGTAAAAAGTTGAATGTTATTGATGAGTATTTAAGATTGAACTTTAAAAGAATTAATTTATTAAATGATTAATTTAATATTTCTATTAATTACACTCTCATTTGGAAAGAAATGTAATGAATACAATGAATATATCTCAGTTGTAGATAGTGTTGATAATGTATTTGAAATGATGAATTAATAAATTCAGAAGATAATAAAAAATCAGTGATTAATGATTTGAAAATGAATTTAGAATCATATGAATACAATGATATATTGAAGAATCCACCAATTAGTTCATATTATTATGAAAAAGTAGAAATAAAATAAATATGGATAGTGGAAATGTATATGAATTTTATTCAAAATTTCAATATTTATTTATTTCACAAAAGATCCTTTATTATCTCTTTCAATAAAACAAATTCATGGTTCATATAGAAATTATATTGTTTATTTTTATTATTTCATTCGTTTTAATATTATGTTAGATAAATAAAAACATATGTATCTTATTCTTAAATATTATTATAAAAATGTAAAGATGTTCCAACACAAATAGAAAATAATAAAGATATTTATGTTAAATCGATAAATGGAAATGATCAATTTGAAATTATTAGAGAATTTGGAAAGAAGTATAGTTCATTTAAATCTCTTCATGTTCAATTTCCATTTTCTTATTCTTCTATTCTTGATAATTCATTTAAGAAACAAAATTTACTTTTATTACTTTTATCAAATCATTATTTAAATACACCTTTAACAATTATATTAGAAAATGATGAAAGTGTTGATGTTCATTATATTTTATTAAAATTATCAATTTATCATTGTATAAATCAAGAAGATAAAATCATTCTATCATCAAAAGAAAATTATACAAATATAAATAATAAGAGAAATGAATATGGTGATAAATATGATAATATTTAATGTAAAATATCTAATAATAATATTAATACTCTTGTTATTAAATGATATGATATTAATAATGAATTATACTTCAAAATTGTATAGAATTATTTGATTCAAATGAATATCAAATTCAAGTTATTCTTCAAGAAAATAAAGATGGAAGTGAAGAGTTATGAATATGGATTCATTATTAACACCAAACTATGATGAAAATTTACTTTCATCAACAAATCTGATAATACAATTTCAATATTAAAAAAAGGATATATGGAATATTTTGTTGATCCAAAAACATGTGAGAAAAGAGGAGTTTATGGTGATGAAGGAATAGAAATAGAAGATTGTATGCGTAGAAGCACTAAAGAAGATGATGCATGGGTATTATATAGATATTGTATTAGAAGACAGAGAAGATGGTATACAAAACCAAAAACTATTAAATATGGTGATATTAAACATAAAATTACACAAATATCAGAATATGTTTCAGAACCACCAATTAAACCATTAAAACATCAAAGAAAACCAACAAAAATAGTAGTTTATACAGATTCATTTTGTTATTCTGCTTGTTCATTTATAACAAAAGGAATAAAAGAATGGGGAGGAGCTATTATTGTTGGATTTGATGGTGATCCATATGGTAAAGATGAAGAATTTGAAGTAGGACAAGCACCATCAAATAGAATGATAAGTATAATTACAGAAAAACAATATGATTACAAACCATTAGAATTTTCACTTAGTTATAGTATTTTAGAAACATTTAAACATAATTATAAATATAATGAAAATATTCCGAGAGAATTTATAAAAGATATAGTAGATGAAAGAGTAAATATATATCCATATGTTATAGGAGATGAAATAATAGAAGAATTTGAAGAAGAAACAAAGAAGATAATAGAGAAATATCAAACAAAATGTAATCCAAAGAATAAAAGATTGGTTAAAATAGATAATAAATGTGATAAAGAAATTAATATAAAACATGGACATGGAGGATATGAATGTGGAGATAAAGGAGAATGGAGTACAAAATGTGTACTAGCTTATTGTGACTCAGGATACAAGTTTGATTATAATAAAAATAAATGTGTTAAAGGAATTTGTGCATATCCAAGTAGTGGAAATAGAATAATGACAATAAATCTAGTTATGATTATTGTTGGATTAATGATGATAATTGTTTAATTGAAGAAAGAATAAATTAATATTTAATGTTTAATTTAATAAAATAAATAATAAACAGATTTATATCAAATAAAATAAAAGAATAGAAATAAAAGATGAAATAATAAAATTATAACATAATAATAATCAATATTAAATATAAATAAGAATAATACAATAAATAAGAAGAAAATAAAGAATGAAAATAAATAAAATAATGATAAGAATATAATAAATAAGAATAAATTAAATAATGAATCAGATAATAAATTATGATAAGATATAAAATTAAAGATTATAATTCATAAATAAACATATTATATATTATATTAAAGAAATAAATAGAAAATAAATAATAGAGAGAATAAAATAAATGAATAGATAATAAATATGATGAGTGTATTATCAAAAATAGAAAATATCATAATTAATTTAATTTAGAATTGTTTCATTAACATAATATATAAATTTGATAGGAAAAGGATATGTAAATCTAATAATAAGAATATAAAAGAAAGAAATATAAATAAAGAGAAAATAAAAAGGGGGTAAAATTGAATTTATTTTTATAAATAATGTTTAATCATAAAATTAAATAATTTCAAATAAAATAAATAGAAAAATAAAATAATTGTATTATGTTACTTTTCAAATAAAAAGGGGGTAATAAAATAAGAATAAATGAGAAAATATAATTGAATTCAATAAAAATAACAAACAAAATAAATTATAATAAGAAATTATATAAAGAAAAAGAATAATTACATTAATAACAATGATAAATAATACAGAAATGAACAAAAATATAAATACAAAATAAAAGAACAAATTTTGTAGAAACGATAAAAATATGAATATAAAATAAAAATAAATACAAATAACATTACATTAACAATAATATTAATAATTTTATGTAATGATTATAAAAAAAATGTAAAAGAAATAAATAAATAAACATCATTAGAAGAATAAAGAAAATATAATAATTCGTCATCCATTATTATTTAATGAAATGATAATAACTACAAAATAACAATGACAAAAGTGTATACAAGAGAAGATAGAGAACGATATGGATTGAAAATACCAAAAGGATTTAATGGAATTGGTGATGAATGTTTTTATTATTGCAGTGATATTGATATAATTAATATCCCCACATATATTACATCATTAGGAAATTGGAGATGAATGTTTTTTATATTGTTCGTCATTAAAATCAATTGATATACCAACTTCTGTTATTAAAATTGGAGATGAATGTTTTGAAGGTTGTGAATCATTAACAAGTATAAATATTGGAAATGTTCAATTTATTAGTGAGGGTAGAATGTTTGTAGGAAAAGAAAAACTAGTTTCAATTCCTATTAATAACTTAAAAAGAATTAATGGAATACCAATAAGAGAAAGATATATTAATGAATTTGTTATTCCAACATCAATTAGAAAAATAGGAGATGGATGTTTTAATGGATGTGAGTCATTAAAATCAATTGATATACCATCATCAGTTAAATGTATAGGAGATGAATGTTTTAGTGGATGTAAATGTGAAGAAGAACTAAAGAAAGATAAGATAATAAGAAAAATCTACATCTAAAAAGGTGAAGAAAGTGACCATGATAATACATGTGTTGTTGTTTAAGTGAAATGAATTTTTAATAAATTTAAAGTTTTAACAAAGAAAATAATAAATGATGAAATGAAAGAATAAAATGAAAGTAATTTTTATGAATAACATAACAAGATAAGAACAGATATAACATAATTAGATGATGAGAATATAACAATGAATGAATAATATAAAATAAAGAATAAATAAATAATTATTGAATTAATTCAAATAAGAAAAAGATAAAAAATGAATAAATTAATTAGATGAATATTATATTTTCATTTTATAAGAATGAAATGATTAATTTTCAATAATTTTATAATTATCAATGATATATTGATTGATAATAAACATTAAATCATTTCAAATAGAATAAATATTAATTTAATAACATTTATAAACATTATATAATGTTATTTCTTATTTTAAATTAATTTTATTTTCATTATATTTTATATAATGATTAAATATTCTATATTTTATATAAAATATGATTATCATAAATTAATTTGATTTATATTTATTTTATTTAATTCTAAAAGTAAAATAACAATCATTTTATATATATTTATAATATAATTAAAATAAATGATAAAATATGAAATAAATAATAAATAAAATTAAATATATAAATGATAAAGAATGTTTAATATTTAATTTTAATAATAAAATACTAATAAATTAAATGATAATCAAAATTCAAACATAAAATAAATGATAATATAATTGTTAATAAATGAATTTAATTAATTAAATTATGATATTATAATTTAAAATTGAATTATATAATATAATACAACATAATGTTATTGAATTCTATGTTATTTTAATTTATCTAATTTCATAATATAATATTTAACTATCATTTCATAATGAATTAATAATATTTATTTTATTAATTTATTCATAATGTTTTATTCATTCATTAATAACAAATAAATGATAAAATGAATAATAAATAATCAAATAAATAACATAATAATCATAAATAAAAAATAATTAAATAAATATAAATAAATAACAATGATAAAACAACATATCAATATACTGAAATTAATTATTTCAAGAAATTATTATCATTCAATTTATTAAATACAAATAAAGAATTAATTAATTAATATACTTAAATATTATATAGAGAAAATTGAATTTAAATTAAAAAATGAATATTTAATTATAAAACATTTCATACAATTTTAACAATAACAAGAAACAAATAAAAAGGGGGTAAATATAAATATGTAATTTTATTTTATAAATATTTCTAATTTATCAATTGATAAAATATAAAAGAGAAATTAGAAATAAGAATGAGATAATAGAGAAATACCATAGAATAACAATAAGAATGAATAATTAGTTAAAGAATAAATAATTACATAATTTATAATTATTCACACACCATAAACAATACAAATAAAAAGATGATAAAATATAATGAAATTAAAATGGAAATATCAAAGAATGAAATAATGTATTTTTCATTTATTTCATTTGATTTAAAATAAAAAGAGAGAATGATATAATGTTAAATGATATCAAATATTTGTAATAGAAATATGAACAACACTAATATTAATATAATTTAATCACTTTATTTCTTTTAAAATAATTAACTGAATATGAACAATAGATAAATTAATACATTAATCAATTATTTGTTTTCATATAAATAAATCATTATAAATTCAATAAATAAAAATAAACATAAATAATGTAAAATAAATAAATGAATAGTAACAAAAATAAGAAAAAATAAGAGAGGGGTAATACAAATGAATGAAGAATAAAAATAAAAATAAAATATAATTGATTTAAATAAAAATAATCGTTTACATGAAAGAATATAATTAAAATAAACATCAATCATAAATATAGAAAAACGATAAAGAAGAATGATAATATTAAATTGAAAACAATATTTAAAATGAAAAATATAATAAAAACAATAAAAAAACAATAAAAATCCTATTATGACATAAAAATAAATACAAATAACATTCCATTATCACTTTTTATTAACGAAAATGTGACGACAAAAATAACAATAGAATAAAATAGAAATAATAAATATTCTTCATTCATAATATTTAAAAACAAGAAAATAACTAATAAATAACAATGGAAATAGTATTTACTCAAAAACATACAAATCAATATGGAATTGATATACCTGAAAAGTTTAATGTAATTGGAAAATATTGTTTTCAAAAATGTTATGATTTTGTTGATTTTGATATTCCAACACATATTACTAGATTAGAGGATAATTGTTTTTATGAATGTACATCATTAATATCAATTAGTATACCTACATCAATTAGTAAATTACCTTTTGGTTGTTTTTATGAATGTTCATCATTAACATCAATTAATATACCAACATCAATTAGTAAAATAGGATATCGATGTTTTAGATTTTGTTCATCATTAAAATCAATTAATGTACCATCGTCTGTTAGTGAATTACCTGCTTATTGTTTTTTATGTTGTAGAGCATTAAAATCAATTAATATTCCATCATCAGTTAGGGAAATAGGATGGAATTGTTTTTGTGGATGTTATTCATTAACATCAATTACTATTCCATCATCAATTAGTATATTAGGTGATCATTGTT